TAATATAATCTAATATTAAGATCCTTTATTAAAGTTCTTAGAGTTTTTATTTAGCTTCTTATTCTTTATTATTTATTTTAAATACTTTTATAATAGCTTCTTTAAATCCTTAGAAACTAGTAAAGACTTTATCTATCTTATTATCTTATTGCGCTAGTTAATTATTAAGAAAGTCCCTTATAATAGGTCTAAACTAAGCGAGTACTATTTTAAATAAATAATTTCCTATATAAAGTACCTTTTCTTTTCGACTAAGTCTAAGAGTTTTATAAGGTAAAACTAATAGTAGGCCTTAAGTTAGGTAAGAAAGTCTTAAAGTATACTATAAGTACCGTTAAATAGTCTTAGCTATTTTAGTTTAACTACTTCTCTAAGGTCCTTAACTTATCTATTACTTTCTTTATTCCTAAGTAACTATACCTTATATTAAAAGGTAATAATCTTACGTATTATATCTTAAGGTAATATAATAGCTTTAGAGTTAGTTAATCTAGTTTACTATATAAGTATATTAATAGTTACGATATTACTTAGAGTAATATAGTATTATACTAAATAAGAGCTTTTAATATATAACGACTAGTATTATTCTTAAGGGATAAACCTATTAAGGGGTTTATATTAATAGATATAATAGGGCGTAGTCTAAGTAATAATAAGTATATTACGTTAGTAATAAGTTAAAGGTTATAGACTATAAACTATAACTAGGTAATTAGAATTAAAGATAGAATTATAATAAAGATCTATATTAAAAGCTATTAAGCTATCTATTTAAAGGAGTAAAAGTAGGTAGCTATATATACCTATAGAAACTATCCTTAGATTATAGTCCTAGCCGTAATCCCCTTTATAGCTTACTATAGCTTACTTATAAGCTATATTCTTAAGTAGTAATCTATCTATATAAGGCTTACTTAGCTTACGTATACTCTAGGTAAGCTAAGCCTAAGTAACTTCTCGTCTTAACTATTATTCCGAGCTACCTTATTATATAAACGTAGCTAGCTCTCCTATAGCCCGCTAACTATAGTTATAATAGTTAGCGGTAGTATAAATAAATTATATTAGCCCTTATAAGCGCGCTTAAGGGTATATAGACTAGGCTTAGTAAGCCTTCTTCTTTAATAAGGTCTCGATAATTAAATAGTTATCTTTATCCTCCTTCTTATCCTCCTTCTTATCCTCCTCCTTAATATAAAGCGCGGCCCTAGCTTTAAGGGCGCGGATCCGGCCTTTTAGGCTACCTAGCTAAGCGGCGACGGCGGCGGTATTAAGGATAGCGGCGGCGGCGGTAGCGGTGCTAGTAGTAGTAAAGGCAGCGGCGGCGGTAGAGGTAGCGGGGGTAGCTAAGGCGGCGGCGATAGTGCCCTTAAGAGAGAGAGAGTTAGCGCCGTAAGGAATATAGGAAAGGGAGCTTATATACTTAGGTATAAGGGCGGCGCGCTTAAGGAATCGTAAATTATAGTAGGCGGCGGCGGCAGCGGTTAAGGCGCGCTTAGCCTTATTTTAGTCCTTACCTAGCTCTATAGCGCTTTAAGCTATAGTAGTATAGGTAAGGATAGGCGGCGTAACCTTATAGGCACGGCTAGCCCGGGCGTATAAGAAGTAGCTGCCTTAAGGGCGGCTGGTAGTAGAGAGCGTAGCGGGGGCGGCGGCGGCGTAGGTAGTAAAGTTAACGGCCGAGAAGCTAGATAGTAGGTAGCGCGGAGCAGTGGTAGGCGCGACTAAGGCGGCGGGGGTAGTAGGTAGGGTAGCGGGCGAGGCGAGGGCGCGATTAATAAAGTTATTAATCTTAGCGGAGAAGTAAGATAAGGTAGAGGAGGATATATTAAATTATTTAAATAACTAGCGGTAGTATAGGTTAGCTTATATATAAGCGGTAGCGTAAAGCTAGGCGCTAAGAGACTTATAGTTATAGTTATAGCTACTACTATTAATACTAATAATAATAGTATAGTTAAGAGGAAAGAGTAATAAGGGCGCCTTAATAGGTTATTTACCTCCTAGCTATATACTAAGGTATAGGATTAATATTATAAGGGGCCGCTTATAGAGAGAGGGGTAAGGACCTTATATAAGGGTATTTACCCTTAGTATAGGTCTAAGTATTAGCTTAGACCTTAGCTAATAGCGTTACTAAGTAAGGTAAGCTATATATATAAATATATATTTAGTAGCGGTAAGTATAGTATAAAGTTAAATCCTATATAAATTATTATTATAATATAATAAAAGGTACTTATAGTATAACCCTTTACCTACCTTATAATAGTTAGTATTATAAATTATAGCCTCTTACTTTATAAAGTAAGGAACTTATTAGTTAAAGTTATTATTATTATTATTATTAAAGCTATTATTATTATTATAGCTATTACTATAAGTATATATTAATAGAGCGGCTTATATAGCTAAGAATAAACTAATACTTTAAGTAAAGTAAAACTTACTTATTACTATTACTATTATAGTTAAAAAAAAAGGGAATACTACCTTATATACCCCTTAGTAAAGGAAGCTACTTAAGGCTAAAGGGATAGGTAACCTAAGGCTTATATAGGTCTAGGCCGGACGCCGGCTACCTAAGGGTATATATAATAAGTTACGCTCTTATTTAAATAGCTAGCTAGCTAATAAGTATAAAGCTAGGTTCTAGCTACCTAAGCTAATAAGCGCGGGGATAATAAAGCTAGTAGGGCTAGTATAATTAATAGGAAAGGGTAAAGTAAAGCTAGCGGTATAAGCTTAATAGTATAAAAGCTATTAATAAGGTAGCGCTACGCCGCGCTTAAAAGGGGGTATTATATAAAAGTCTTTAACTACTATAAGTTATAGGCTTAGGCTATAGCCTAAGCTATATAATTATATATAAAGGGCTAGATCTTATATATATATATATAGGCTAGCTATATATAAAAGAGCTTTATATAGCTTATTAATATTATCTTATAAATAGTACTTATATATATACCTTTACCTACTTTATAATAGTTATTAAGAAGTTCTTAAGAAAGTAACCCTTTTACCTAAGCTTATAACTATTATAAAAAAATAATAGCTACCTTTTAAATATAAGTAATAGTATTAATTAATATATATAAAGTATATAATATTTAAAGGTAGTAGTTTCTATAGTAATTCCCTTCTTAAGCTTATAAATATAATAAGTTTAGTTAGTTAAATATAAAGATTACTTTTAAATAGCTTAAAGCTATATTTCTATTAAAAATAGCGCCCTTAATAGCCTTATTATAAAAGATCTTAATCCTTAATAAGGCTATATTATATATAAGCTTAAGCTATATATATATAGCCTTTAAATATTATATATAGCTCTTTTTCTTATCTTTATACTAATTATATATTATATAGCTACTTAATATTAGCGTTTTTATACCTCTTAAAGAGCTTTATTATTAATAGCTTACTAAGCTTATTAACTTTATAATTATAGCGCCTTATTAAAAATAACGCTTCCTTTAAGTATATAATATAGCTTTATTACTAGCTTTTATAAAAGAGAATATCTAAGCTAGCTTTAAAGCTATTAAGATTTATCTTATAAACGTTAATTACGCCCTTAAATATATTATTAAGCTATAAGCTATAAACGATATCTTATATATACTTAAGAAGCTTAAGACTAATAAAATTAATAAAAATAAAGAATAATAAACTCCTTAAGATAGTAAGGAGGTTTAAAGATAGCTAGATCTTTTAAACTAAAATCTTATAAGTATTATTATTATTAAGATTATACTAGTAACCTATTTAAAGGTATCTAAAACTTCGACGTTAAATAAGAGGAAAAAACTAAAGTACTTAAAAGAAAACCCTCCCCTCTTTTATAGCTAGTCCGCCCTTATACTAACTAGGTCGCGGTTATAATATATAGGAATCTTATACTAGCTATCTTAGGTATTATTATAGTTAGTTAAAATTATATTAGCTCTACTATAAAGTAACCTTAAAAAGTAACTCCTTTATATATATAGGGTATATAGCGTTAATCGGTAGTATAAGCGTTTTTTAGTTAACGGTTAATAGTTAATTATATAATTAACTTTAACCTTATCCTATAATAATATCTTCCTAGGCTTAACCTTATTTTTCCGTTATAAGGCTTAGCAGGCTATTTTTTTTATTAATGCCGGCCTTTAGCCGGGCTAGTAGTTAGGTTATCGCACCGGCTTTACGCCGTACTTATTAAGTTACTAGTATCGGCCCTAGGTTTTATTTTCCCGGTTAAGGGGCCTAGACCGAGGTTAGGGGGAGGTCCTAATAAATTCGTTGCTAGGTCTAAGTAGGCGAGGTCCGGGCCGGCCTACTTATAGTAGGGCTAGACTACTAGTATATTTATAAGCGCTTCTAAAAGCGCTAATTAGCTAATTAATAAGTAGGTTAGCGTAGTCTACTAGTCTAACTAAAAATTAATTATACCCCTAGCCGGATTTAAACTAACTCTAGCATTATAGCTAGTAGGCTTCTTAGGTATATAACTACTATACTACGAGGGTAATCTTATAGGTATTAATTATAGCTTTAAGATAGTAGCTACTAAGGCTAAGCGAGCTATCGATTAAAAGAATAGTCTTATAGTATCCTTTAAAGCTAAAAACGACTATTTTAAAGCTAAAATTAAAGCTTTAAAGCCCGCTAGCTATAAGAGCGTTAAAATTAACCTTAACGACGCTTTTACTATAGTTCTAGATAAAGTTATCTTAAGAATCGTAAACTACGTGGCGGACCTTAGGGGGTGGCGGACCCCTAGTAGATTACGTTACCTACTTAGAGGAAGGGCGAATCAGTGCCTATTCTAGAAGGCGGTGGGTGTCACGAGGCTTTCAGTGGAGCGGCAAAAGCCTCCCAGATGCCGGAGTGTCGCATCGACCAGCATCGCGGCCACGCGACTGCAGTGTTCAGGGACAAATCAATTAGGGAATTCTTAAACGGCGCGCGTTCCTACGCGAAACGAGCACCATCTCCTATACTCGACCATGTCATCGCCGGTTGCCAAGGCCGCGCGCCGTGTCACGCGCGAGCTCCACGGGGTCGTCGTTTCTGCCGGTCTCATGCAAAAGACTGTCAAGGTCCGAGTCGGTGGCCAAAAGTGGAATAAAGTCGTCAATAAGGTATGTGCGACTTGTTGCAGAGCCTCGGCCGTCTCTTGGGCACATCCTCATCTCGCCGCCGCAGTGGTTCGCCGATCCCAAACACTACCTCGTTCACGATCCAAACTCCTCTTTGAGAACGGGAGATGTCATCTCCATCGTCCCTGGCTGGCCCACCTCACAACATAAGCGCCACGTCGTCAAGCACATCATCGCCCCGTATGGTGTCCCGATCGAGGAGCGGCCGCCAGTGCCGACATTGGAGGAAAGGATAACTGAGCGGGAAACCAAGAAAGCCGCAAAGGACCAGCGTAAGGCCGTCAGGAGGACCGAGGACGATGAGAAGGCCGGCAAAGGGGTGAGGAAAGAGGCAGAGTCGACGAGAGAACGGCTGCAAACAACCGAAAACTCGTCGAGTGAAGTGGATTAAGGGGGGCGAGCTCACTTTGCCGGAGCTCAAATGGATCGAGAATGACCGTCCGGTGGTTTCCCGTTCGGACCACAAGGTCGTCTGCCTCTACCGCGGTAATTGGACGCTCCGAAGAGGTGACTTGTAATATATCTGGTACGACACTAGTGGAACTGCATGCCAAGTCGTTTCTACACGGCAGATTCAACCGCACACAAGCTCGTTTCGGTGTCATCGACGTTTGACGTAGCGCTGTTGAAAAATTGGTGAGGACACGACGCTCTAAAGCACAAGACGCGCCGCCCCTCTAAGCCATCATAGTGGCAGCCTGCTGTTTGGCTCAGCCCCCTCGCTCACCGAACTCCTTGGCCCAGTCCTCGTACTCCTTCAGTCCAGCTTTACTGACGCTTGGCCTGATCGTGCCGAGGCTTGCCTCAAAGTCCTGCAGCATAATTGGCCGAATCTCGTCCATGGTCATGTGCAGGAGAGCCTCACCCAACGACCGCAATGGGCCCATGGCGGCGTCTTTCGCCAGTGCCGTGATGTCGGATCCTGAGAAGCCTGCCGCGTGCATCCCGTCAGTCGGCCTACTCAATGGTTTCGCAATGGAGATTGCAGCTCACCTTCCGTCAAGTTCACTAGTTTCTGTATGTCATTTGACGCGAGACTGTGTTTCTGCTGCCCCAGCAAGGTGCGAAGTTGTGTCTCTCGAGTACGGGGCTCCGGAAGAGGTATGTACTGTCGTCGGACAAATCTTCGTCGGGCGGCCTCGTCGATTGCCCACGGCAAGTTTGTGGCGGCCAGTACGAGGACTCTGTTAGCGTCGCCGCGTTCCTTGTCCCTCTCGGTGATGTCTCGCCCAGCCGCTGCTCGCTGCAAGTCGCTCCATTGAATGAGGAACTCGGTCTTGATCCTCCTCGTTGCCTCGTGCTCCCCTGAACCGGATCGCTGCGACAACAAAGAGTCAATCTCATCGACGAAGATGATGCTGGGCGCCAACGCCCTGGCGAGACCAAACAGAGCCTTGACGAGCTTCTCCGACTCTCCTAGATACTTGCTTGTTAGGCTGCTTGCCGAGATGGAGAAGAAGGTAGACTTGGACTCGGTGGCCACGGCGCGCGCGAGCATTGTCTTTCCTGTTCCCGGTGGGCCAAAGAGCAGCATGCCCCGAGCCGGCTCCCGAAGTCCCATAAATAGATCCGGCCGCAGAAACGGGTAGACAACTGCTTCCCGGAGCGCATTCTTGGCTATCTCCAAGCCGGCAACATCTCCCCAGTGAACCTCATCTCCCTGAACGACTATGTCGTTGAGGATTTGCTTGGCCGCTACTTCATCAATACCTGGGGGTAAGTTTTTGATGATAGAAGCATTTCGAGTCTTCCCGGTCGAGTGACTTAGATCCTCCTCCTTGGTGAGCTCCGCCGAAGACGCCGAATCAGGGTCATCCTTGACGACGAGCTCTCTCTGCTTGGCACGCCACGGTCTATTTCCGAGCTTTAGTGAATCATCTTCCGAGCTGCTGGATACGGACACCTGCCGAATTTTTGGCAGCCCGTCTGATTGCGCTCGATTGGCGCTCTCGCGATCTCGGGCAACGCCGATTAGTCGGGCTGTCTGTACTGGGCGCCTCGTAGCAGCTTGCTGCCGACCTGGAGTAGCGTCTCCAGACTTCTCTTGACGAGTTTCGGTTGGCTCATCAGTCGCTTTAGAGCCGTTGGTGTGGGCGTACGGTGGTGGCTTCGATGGTTTTTCCGCCTCTGGAGCGCTTCGCGAGGAGGGGTTGTTAATCACACGGCTCGGTAGCCGAGCTGAGGAAGCAAGCTCCTGATTTGACGAGGAATTCAAGGCGCTTGATGCTGCAGTCACCGAGAGGAGGGAAGGCCTGGAGTCTGGATATTCCTCCAAATGTCGCGGGGCGCTTGATGACGGTATGTTGTGTTGTGAGGTTTCAGAGTCGCGAGGTATGACCAAGCGTCTTGAATGACTATCCCACTGTGGCTGAAATGCTCCAAGCTTCCGAGGTCGGTCTGAAGACTTACGGGGGCACGATGTTGAAGCCGAAGGGCCGCTGTCGGAGGAGTGTGCTTTGCGCAACCGATCTCGAGGGCCAAGAGAACTCCATGCCAGCGTAGCGGCTTTGCTTGGGCCCTCAGCTACCGACGTGGGTGATTTGCGTGCTGGTTTCGAGGGCTTTTCCCCTGCCCTACCAGAGCGAAGTGTGGTTCTCATGGTATGCTTCTCAGGGCTCGAAGAACGAACTGCCTGGTCGTCCTTGGATGGCAACCTGGAGTCTGACCACTGATGCGGGGAGCTCGCAGACGAAGGGGATTCGGTAGCGACGACGCCGCCGCCGCTACCGCCGCCAACGACCGCATTCTCAGAAGACATTCGTGCCGGAAGAGAAGGACGATGCGGTAACGGCGGCCGCGAAAGGTCGGGCCACGCAGCAGCGGGAATAGTGCCTTGACCAATAGATCCTTTGATTGAGCTTGTTGAATCGTTTAAGGTAGGTCGCGGTGAGCGTTTTTCACCGGATGTTGTGACTTGTACTTCTTGTCGCGAAACACGCAGGGCCTCCAAGAGGTCTATTCGTTCTTTGCACTGTAGTTCTAGCTCTTTGATGGCACCCACGAGGGCCTTCTCAGTGTCTGTCTGAGACCCACGTCGAGAAGCAGAAATTGTGACACGGCTCTCGTGGATATGTTCGAGGGCGTTTCTCCAGTGGCGCATGGCCTCGAGCTCGTCTCCCTAAGCCCGACATTAGCTATCAAAAACAAAGTCACGGTCAGTACGGGCCCGCGGTCAAACCTGGCTCTCATAGTATATAGCGGTCGAGCAGCTGAGGTAACTGTCATCGTATGTCTTCTGGAGGACGTTGGAGGGCCTGTTGCGCAACATTGCAGGGGATGCAGGCGCATTCCGCCTGAACAAGCATTGATCTCAACGGCCGAGAACTTGGCGCCCTGGTGCTGGGGCAGTCACATACACACGCGCGGAGTCGAGAGGACACTCCGCATGGGGGGTGAAGGTTAGGACACGTCCGGCTCAGGAGCCAGGGCCTGGGTCGGGGTGACACGTCTGTTTGAAGCCGCGAGAGCGGTCCCGATTGCTAGTTCGAGGAGCGCAACAGATCGAGTGCTGAGCAGGCCTACCCGCTATGGTTAGGGGTGGAAGGGTTAGTCGAGAGACACTGGTTCCTAAAAGGGAGGGGGGAGAGGAGAGTGCATACCAGCGGATCACCACCCAAGGGATAGTCGCACAGTAGGGAAGAAACAGGGTGATGCGGCGGGAGGTTAGATGTGATGCGATTGGTGACGTAAGATAACAAGCGGCTGCCTAATATCGATCAAATGCTTGCCCGTGGGGCCGCTGCAATCTAAAGGAGTACTGTACGAAAGTGCCGACCAGGCAACGCCCCTCCCTACCTTTCCCCACAACACCGCCCTGACACGCCTATTAAAGGATTTTAATGATAACTACGTATTAGCGTAATAGGGTGAGGGTGATCATATTCTTTACCCACTTATACATACTTTACTTTAGGACCGGACAATTTGTATTGAAGATTTGTTCGCGGTGGGAATCAGAAGCTCCTTTATATACCATTACTCTTTTATATTTAACATTATGAAAACAAAACCTAGGATAACAAGACCCGAATCTCGGCCGTTGTCCTCGGGAACACAGAGCGTATTCCGGACTCATCATTCTCTCCTCCTTCTTTGCCCATTTCCTCAATTAGCTTTTCAAGCGTCTGGAAGTCCTCGCAGAACTGGTTTGCGGCCGCTTCCGTGATCTCACGTGTAAGCGCCAGGTCCTGCAAATGTTTCAAATTCTCCATGGCGTCCATCAACGCCGATGGTAGGAACTCGTCCAGCTGCCGACTTGCCCGTTCGAGCATTTCCTTGCTCAACCTCTTCTCGGCCTCGTCCGAAACGCCTTGGCCTCTTTCCAGCAACGGTCCAAATCCCGAGCCGTCGCAGAAAAAGTCGTGCTGATATGTAACAAGCTTCGCGGCTTCGTTGCTTATCCCTTCCCGAATCCGCGCCGCCTCACGATCCGTGAAATCGAAACTGCCGAGTATCTTGGCCGCCGCGAGCTTGCAGTTAATAAGGAATATTGCATTGCTTGGTAGCTCAATTGCCATTGCCATGTTTTCGCATCCCGACATGAAAGGCTGGAATGCTTCAGAAAGGACGTTTGTGAACTCGCCCTCGCGGTCCTCAGATGCGGCAAGGGACGACTCGAAAGTCTTTATTATTGCCTCCAACTGCGTGAGTGCGTCATTGAGGAAGCGTGGCGGGCCAAGCTCTGATGGCGGTTGCTGAAACTCAACTTGCAGAGCAGCGATGTGGTCTCTGACTAGGGCCCGAAACTGCCGCAAAGCCTCTTTCTCAAGACTCTGGACGCATTCAAACAGATTGGAGCCGAGTCCAAGGAGTTTCCGAAACGTAACGCGGTAGAAAACGATGAGCGTTGCCAGCTTGTAGGCCATAATAGTCTCCTCGTTGGAGCGTATCACCTGCTCTACTCTCTGACGGAGAACGCGGGACGCGCCCGCAACATCCCGGTCAACCAAATCGTTGAGCGCCTTGAGCGCATTGAATTCGCCTTTGTCAGCCTCGTCAGCCACGAGGCGCCAGATCTCGGCATCGCGGCCCGACTTCATCCCTTTCGCGAGTTCCTCGCCTTCTGCGACGAACAAAACTTCCAGGGCCTCGCGCTCGTTGACAGCTGCCGAATGGATCCATGCCAGCATGTCGCCCACATAGCGGAGGGGGTCGTGTGCGACGAGGTCAATGGGTTTGAGCGACGCATCATCCTCTTCACCCGATGATCCATTACCAGTCAGTGCAATGTGGAATGCGTCCGAGAGGATACGTTCCCGTGCCTCGGCGAAGTAGTCGAGGCAGTTCTGGAACAGGGACGGGCGCTCTGCCAACACACGTAGAGCGCGCCGAATCGCCGAGTTCATTTGTGGATTCTCGAGATTCAGCGACTTGAACTCTCGCTGGACCCATTTGTAGAGCTTCTGGAAGCCAAAGTCGATGTTTTTGGACGTCTGCTCCATCAAGTCGGACCCAAGCGTTTGTTTTTCGAAGCCGAGAAGTATCTCGCAGTCCTGAGTGATTCTTTTCGCCTTCGAAAGATATTGCAGGAACCTGTCGTCCACCGGCTCCGCAGTCGAGGTCAGGGCTGCAACTTCGGCGTCGGACATGACGAAGTGGTCCCTGAAGGCAATTGAGACTTCTTGCTTTGTCTCCACTTGGCTTCTTTGTTGGAGGAGCGATGCGGCCTCTGTGAGCACCGGGAGAGTCCCAGTGTGGGCGGAAATGACTTGACTCTTCATGGCATCGTACCCTGCATTCAGCCTCCCTAGAATGGCTCTAATGAGACGCAATTGCTGGTACAGGCTGTTAGGAGAAGGCCACGTTGTAACTGCTTCAAGGGCTAACCAACCTCGGCGACATGCCCAAACTCGTCGATGATGGCTCCGTTGCTGTCGATGACTTCCTTGTGTATGTCTAGCCGGATCTGACGTCTAGTCTTCGCGTTGTTTTCGATGCCTCGATCGTCAAGGAGGGATAGAGCCTCGCGGAACTCGACATCGGAATAGGAAGTGGACAAAATGGCTGTCACCTTTGCAGTGAGGGGGTTGGAAGCCTTGGAGGCCCCAGCTACAGCGCTCAGGGGGTCCGGCCGAGGCAGTCTGCCCAGAGACGAGAACTTATTGTCCATGGCGAAAGAGATCTGCCCGGATGACAGGTGGCTAAAGCGAAGCTCAGCCGGCCTGAAACTTGAACCAAAAAGAATGTCGATACTGGACCAGGCAAACAGCTCGAGCTCTCCGCCAAACACGCGTGCCGTCTGCCAGATATCGGGAGCACCCCTTTGCCGCAATGCCTTTGATACCGTGGCAGTTTACATGGGGCGGGTAGGTACGGTCTGAGGCTGGATGCATCTACCGGAGAGATAGCCGAGCCGCGAGAGGGGAAGTGGTTGCAACTGGAGCTTCGCCGTCCCAGACACGATTTGGAGACGGTTCCAGTGCGGACCAAGATGCGACGGCAAGCTTGAGCAGTTTGGAAGCACACTATAAGCTGTAAGTATCACTCTCCGGAGAATCGTGCCCTTGGCACAATTACCTAGTACTGTAGGCATATGTGATGCCCGATATTTGCTGGAAGCCGATGTGGAACTGAGAGCCGTGATACTCTTCCGGAAGGCGGTGAGAATAACTGTTATGCGGCGCTGGGCCAGGGGCTGGGTAAAACCTTATTAGGTAAGCAATAAGTCAGCCCACCTAAAGTCCGGCACACCCTAACACCGGCACTCTCCATAACACCATCGCGTCGTTAAATATATTACATTGCAACCGCGTTTTCTCGTGCATCTCTTGCCCTATAATTGTAAAATAAATACTATTTACATTAGCGATGCCTCGGCTTTCTAAGTATACCGAAAACCAGCTCTAAGAAGCACTTAAAGCTATTAAAAACGGGATACCTTAGCTTTATACTAGTCGAAAGTAGGGTATTCTAAGAGGGACCCTCTATATACGTCTTAAAGGGGCTCTGCCTATTAAGGAGGTAAAAGAGGTATATTAGAGGCTTAGCCGAGAGCAGGAAAAACACCTTGCCGACTAGGTTCTTGCCTAGGCCGCCCTTAGGCTACCTCTAACGTATTATTAGGTTAAGGAATTTGCTAGCTATATCGTTAAGGCCGGCGGCAATACCCGTCCGCTTAGGAAGTAGTAGATTTCGGGCTTTTTAGCCCGGAACCTAGAGATTAGTACTATTAAAGGTAGATCTCTCGATTCTACTCGCGTTAACGGCGCCTCTATAGCCTATATCGAGGAATAGTTTTAATTACTTAAGCTGCCGGCTATATAGGCAATCCTACTAGAGTCCCGCTTTAATATAGACGAAACGGGTATCCTTAAGGGCCTCGGCTTTAATAGTCTAATACTAAGGAGCTTAGAGAAGCGAGAGACTCTTAAAAAGTAGCTAGGATCGCGTTATTAAACTATAATAGTCGAATACGTCTCTACTATAGGCTAGGCCTTAACTCCCCTTATAATTTTTAAGGGTTAAGACCTTTAATATTAATAGTTCCTTAACGAACTTAATTTTCTATAAGATTAGGACTTTATTACCTCTTTAAAGGGCTAGATAAGTAATACTATCGCTATTTAGTAGCTAAAGTAAGCTTTTATCCCTTAAATAAGGTACTATAAGTAGGGTAATACTCTTCTTATTATTAATAGCTATAGGAGTTATTAGACTAATAATTTTATATATAAATACTTTTAAAATAGTATATATCTCCTTTTCCTACTATTATACTCTTTATATATCCTTTAACTACTTAATATCTTAGTTTTCTTGCCTATTAAGGCTATATACCGACGTTAACTTAAGAAAATTATATCTTTCGACAATATAGCGCTAATTAGTAAGGCTACCTTCCTTTATATCTACTATAAAGCCTAGTAGGCTAGCTTAACTAAGAAGAATATTAAGGGAGGTTAGCGTAGGTTTAGTTTATAGCTAATTAATATAGTAAAGCCCTTATTAAGCCGCTTTATCTTACTATAGCTATTAACGCCGTTAACGCTATTAAAAAAGAAGAATATTAGCTCCTTAGCTAATAACGATGCCCTTAAAATACTTAAACGATTATAAGAAGTTCGCCGCCTTATTATAAGGTTAAAAAATCGCGGTTAAGTTAACCGTATAATCTAACTACTCTTTAATAAAGTTAGCCGCGCCCTTAATAATTAAAATTAATAGCTTATAGCTACCTAGCTTTAAATATAATAGCTTAAGTATTAATTATATTATTTATAGCCTTAAAAATAGAAAAAGGTTTTATAGGATCTTAATAGCTAGTTCGTATAGATTAATTAAGTTATTAAGATAAGGTAGCGGCTTAAGCGTATTCTTAAGCTAGCTATTATTACCGTAGCTAATTAAGATATATATTTTAAAGCTCTATATAGTAGCTAGTAGCTTAAATAGCTAGAAAACACTATAATTAACTATTATAACGTTAAAATATAGCTTTAATTACTATTAGAATATACCTGCCTTAGTATTATAGAGCTTTAGTACTAGTATTAAGGTATACTAGACTTTAGGTAGGCTAACTTACTAGCTTTAGTTATAACGTTAGCTACCTAGCTTATAGTATAACCCCCCTTCTAGCACCCTTCCTATAATAAAAAGGGTATATCTTAATAGTAATTAAAGCTATAGTTTAATATCGCGATAGATTAATTTAGTATTTTCTAGCTATTTAAGCTACTAGCTATTATATAGAGCTTTAAAACCTAGAGGCCTAGGCCGACCCTCTCGGCCTTTTACTAGCTTCTTTTTAGGGCTAGCTTCTTATTTTCCTTCTTAAAAAAAACTAATAAGGTAGACCGAGACGATTACTATTATAGCTAAGGAAGGTATATAGCTAGGCACCTTATCCTAAGGTGCTTAAACTATAGGAGGGAAAGAGAGGTCCTTTACTAGACCTTTAAGAGATAGAAAGGGGCCCTTAGCTTACCTCTTCTCTATAGCTCTAAGAAAGGAAGGGAAGCCCCTTTAACCTTCCTAGCTAAGATAAAGATAAGGTAGTTAAAAAAATTATTATATCTTCTTAGCTAACTTTTTAAAACTAAGCTTAAAATATAAAAAAGTATATACCTAAAACCGTTATAAATAGCGTATTACGCCCCCTTAAGTATAGCCTTATATAGCTACTAGTAGGTATATAATATATTACTAAAGATTATAAATTAAGTAAAGTTCTCTTTTATATAAATAGAAAACTCTTCCTTACCTTTACTAACTAAGGGTATATACCCCCTGCTAATAGGCCTAACCTAGGACCCTAGCTTAAACTTAAGGAGGGCCCCTTTAACTTTAGCCCCCTTAACTTAAGGGTTAAAATAAGTACCTTAAAAGTTAGGGCCTATTTAAAAAAAGCTTTAAAAGGCTAATACCTTTTAAGGACTTTAAAAGAAAGGCCTAGGACCTAAGACTAGGACTTAAAGGATATTAAGATAAAAGATAATACTTAGCTTATATTAAAGACTAGCCTTTTTAAGCCTAGCTTAGCTTTACTTTAAGCTAGCTACTTTTAGCTTAACTAGCCCTTAAAGTAAGTAAAGAAGCGAAAAAGAGCTACCTTTAATAGCCCTATTAGCCTTATACCTATTTAACCTATATTTTAATACTTATAATAAATCTAGCCCTAGCCCTAGTACCCCTTTCCTAGGGACTAAGCTTAGGGCTTCTTTTAGTAGGCCTTTTAGGCTTTTAAGGAAGCGTAAAAAATTATACCCTTTTATAAGACCTTTATAAAAGGGCTTAAGAAGGTAGCTATAAGGACCTTAAACCGCTAATAGCGCTTATAATAGCCCTTATACTAGCTTAAGGCCGCTTAGTAGCTTAAAGCTACTTAAGGAAACCTTAAAGTAAGCTTATAGGCTAAGGTTATTATAAAAGAAGCGCCTAAGGCCCTAGCTAAGGCCCTAGCTAAGGCTCTAGTAAAAGCCTTAGCTAAAGCCTTAATTAAGGCCTTAGCTAAAAAGAATATAAAAGAGGACTTTAAACTTATCTTAAAGCTAAAGAAGGAATTACTAACGCTAACTATTAACCTTAGTACTCTTTATAATAAGCTTAATAAAGCTATATAGGAACTAGCTATATTAGCTTTATTAACTTTAAATAAAGGTAATATAGTTATAACGATAAAGGCCCTATATATAGTAAAGAAGCTTTTAAAGTAATAAGAAAAGTAGTCCTTATACCTTAAAGAGCTACTTATTAAATTAGCTAACCTTCTTACTAGCTAAACTAAGCTAGTAGCTTAGAGCGTCCTTAACCTCTTAAAGACTCTTATCCTTAATATCTTTATTATAGAAGCTAAAACCTTTAGTAGGATCGATATCCTAGGGTAGTTTAAGTAGCTAGGTACCTTAAGCTTAATATAAAAGGTAGGATCTATTATTTTTATAGTCCCTTTAAAAGCTATAAAGGCTAAGTACTAAAAAAATAGCCTTTATATAATAGGTTTATAGATTTAAGTTAAGGCTTATAAGGAATATACTATATATATATAGTATTATAAGTACATTTCTTTTAACTATAGCCCTTAGACCTATTAATAGCTTATTAAGTCTACCTTTTACTTAGAAAAGTACTTAACTAAGGACTATAACTACCTTAGCTATAAAGCTAGCTAAGGCTACTCTTACTTTAGGTTTAATACTATAACTATAAAAGAAAATACCTTATAACTAATAAGGTATAATATAGAGTTTATAAGGGAATAATTAATACTTAATAATATTAGCCTCTTTATACTTATAAGGCCTTTAAAGCCCCTTAGGCCCCTTAGGCTTAACTATAGCCTTATTAGTATTATATAGTATAATATTAATAAGTAAAGAATAGCTAAAAGTACTTTATTAAGTAAATATATATAGCTAGCTTAATATAATATAGTATATTTACCTTATTATAAGCTTAAATATAAATTATTATACTTATTTAAGTAAAAGGTTTATACTATTAAATATATATACTAATCTTATTTACTTTCTTTATAAGCTTAGTAGTAATAAGTTTCTTTTTTTATCTTTTTTTATAGTATAAAAAAAGAATAATATTAATAATATTATAAATATTTCTATCTTTACTTTAAGAACTAAGGATAAAAAGAGGTAGCGATAAAAAGGTCGC